AGACGTTTGGCTGGCACCAAGGCGAGAACGACATTCTCAATGAAAGACGTCGCTGGCCCCTCAGCGGCAGCCACATGTTCAATCTGAGATGTGGCCCACGCACAGGCGAGAACAACGCGCTCAATGCAGGATGTCGCTGGCGCCTGGGCGGCAGCAACATCTTTAGTCAGAGATTTGGCCCACGCACAAGCCGAAGCATCATTCCGAGACAATCGCGTCGCCAAAATGCAAGTGTCACGCCCATTCCGTGCGGGCCAGGCTCGGTGTCACCGAGGTCTGGGCTACGTTAGGTGGGTACGTTAGGGGGGGGTACCCCATACGTCGTGGCCATTTTCCATTCAGCACGGGTGGCCACAGTTGACAGCTCCTCTCTGGGCCTCCTCTTGCTACTCATGCTGCTCCTCCTCATTATACTCGTCCTCCTCCTCCTGCTCCTTTTCTTTTTACAATTACTCAATATGAATACTACTCTCCCTCTTCCCCTGATGACGTCTTGGGAATGTTCGCCCCCCCCCCCGCGTACTGTTTTGTTACACACAGGTTTCCCCGGAGTTGGGTTTTTTCGCCTGCATTTTTTTCCAAAATGCTGCTCTCGCTGAAGCGCCAGCCTCATTTTCGGGCCTCGCTCGTTCCGAATCGTGCTCCCGCCCCAGACCCCCGACGTAATGATCTTTTCATTACGTCGACCCCAGAGTTCTCGACCCCTTCCCCAGGACAGGCTTGCGATCCTGACTCGTTTTTTGACGCTCCCGAGGCCCGGTGAGGGCCCCCAAAGGCCGAAAATGGCGAAAAACCTCCCGTCATGATTTTTTCATTACTCGAGGGGGTCTGGGGCTGCAGCGCTGGCACCATTTCCGCTGGCGCCCGGGCTGCACGCCCGAGCCCGCCGGCGCCCGGGCCGGCGCTCGGGCCAGGTCCGGAGCCGGTTCCGGCCGCCCCCGGAAAATGGAGTTCTGAGGCGGCGCCGAAAAAAGGCTATTCTGATACACATTTTTCTTTTGAGAATGCTGAATTTCTGCTTCCGGCGCCCGGGAGGCCTCCCGGGCCGATTCCGACGCCCGGGCCGGCGCCCGAGCCGGCGCCTGGGCCGGACGCCCGAGCCGGCGCCCGGGCCGGCGCCCGGGCCGGGTCCGGAGCCGGTTCCGGCCGGCGCCGGAAAATCGAGTTCCGAGGCGGCGCCGGAAAAAGGCCGACACATTTGTTCTCTTGAAAATGCTGAATTTCTGCTTCTGGCGCCCGGGAAGCCTCCCGGGCCGATTCCAGCGTGCTTCCGCTCGTTCGAATCGTGCTCCCGCTGCAGCGCTGGCCTCATTTCCGCGCTTCCGCTCGTTTCGACTCGTGCTCCCGCTGCAGCGCTGGCGTCATTTCCCGTGCCATGCCACGGCATGCAATGCATGCTAGGTTGATACTACCTTCGCGGTGCTCATCTACGCCGTGCCATGCCGTGCTCTACAATGCATCGCGTACCCTTTCGGGACCATTGCCCTGCTCGACATCCGACTGTGCGAGTAGAGAGGGGATCTGCGCCATGGTAAGGGATGGGAGGGAGGGGTAGGATGTCAGATATGACGCGAGCGCACCTAGCTTGCCTCCTCCCCCTCCTTCTCTTCCTCTTCCTTTTCCTCCTCCTCCTCCTCCTCCTCCTCCTCCTCCTCCTCGTCTTCCTCCCCTACCACCCCTTCCTCTCACACATCCCCACCCCCGATGCGCCTCATCCGCGCGTCTCCGCCGCCCTCTCCCTGGCGGCAGCCGAGCCTGGTCCGTGTAGATATACTCTAGGAGGAGCAAGAACACGGGATGCGCCACCTCGGGCAGCACGATCTGCTCATCGGCGCCAGACCTACAACCCGCCATGCTGGCCAGATCCATACACCCCTCCTTTTCCTCCTCCGCATCCTCCTCCTATTCCTCTTCCTCTTCCTCCTCATCCTCCTCTTCCAACTTAGGGCCATGGTGCATTGAGACTACGAATGCGAGTCGACGCGGGTACTTGGATCGCTCGTGGTCGCTCGTGGGTGTCATCCTCGACTCGCTTCGCGACTGGGCTCACTCACTCACTCACTCACTCACTCACTCACTCACTCACTCACTCACTCACTGGCTCACTCACTCACTCACTCACTCACTCATTCACTCACTCACTCACTCACTCACTCACACTTTCTCACTCACTCACACTCACTCACTCACTCACTCACTCCTCTTTCTCCTCCTCCTCCACCTCCTCCTCCTCCTCCTCCTCCTCCTCCTCCACCCTTCCTCTCTTCTCGCTCGTCCTCCTCCTCCTCCTCCTCCTCCTCCTCCTCCTCTTCCTCCTCCTCCTCCTGCTCCTCCTCTTCCTCCTCCTCCTCGTTTATTCGGGCGAGAAGTGCTGGACATGGGCAGGCTCCACCACTGACCTCGAGGGTACCAACCAGCTTGACCTATGCAACGTCACTGCCACTGGTACCACCATCGTCGAGTCCCCCCCCACACCAAGGAACGGCTCCCGCAAAGACGGGGCAGGCAAGCTTCGTTAGATTGAACGGAAGGGCATCCTGGCGCCAGATCGCATCGACCTGATAACGGGTCCATGAGGATGGAGCCATGACGTAATGCACGCCAGACGTGAGACATCGACATACATCATCGTGACAGGCAGCGAGGAAAGATCGCCATGTCGAACGGCCGAAAACGTTCCGACTGGGGAGGCGCAGGCACCAGACCAGCGCGAGATCCCCTGCCTGGCGAAGAGAGGAACGCAGCAGCGGCGGGCGCATGGAGGGAGAGCGATCGGTGGAGTCTCCACCGATCGCAGGAATCCCCATCCTATCTATCAGTGCCCGCTGCAAAACTTCTGACTGCCTCGCCGAGGGGGCCAGTGCACTGCGACGCGGGAAGTGCCGTCAGCGCAGCTCCTGGCGTCGCGGCAGATTGCTTGCCGAGGCAAGCGCGCCGCGCAGTTTGATTTGAAATCTGCCTTCGAACTGCCTCGCGCGGACAGCAGTGCCCCCCTTGCTCGCGGGAAAGGTGCAGACCCCCCCGGGACTTACAGGGTGGAGAGAAGAGGGTGCGAGAGCGACCTGGGGGGAAGGGGCGGGGAGGAAGGGGCTGGGGGGAGGATCGCGGATCACGGATCGACAGAGAGACGATCTGCAGACTGGAGAAGCTCGGCCGGGATCGTCTCTATCTTCCGTGCGGGAGCGCCTCGGGTTGCCTTCGAACCGGTTCGTTGCGCACGGCAGCGGCCCACACCCTCGTCCACACCGTGAAGGACGACTGCCAGCATGGAGGTCGTGTGACCGCGGCGCGCCACAGAGCGACGTACGCCGGGCAGGGGGGAGGACGAGGTGGAATTAAGTCGGGCGTGTCCTCCTATAGGCGGATTCGGGACGAAAGCTAGAAAAATGTCAAACAAATACCCCACAAATGGTCAACAAATCGTCCCCAGGCTATATTTTCCTATTTTTGAGAATTCCTCCCGTAGAGGGACACGCCCGACTTGAAGCCAGAACGAGCCCAGCCCAGAACAAGCCCAGCCCAGGGAGAAGGAGCCCGTTTTTTGGCTGTCTCAAAGAGCCCTCCCCCCCCCTTCCCTGGGGGGGCTGTATGCACGCGATCCGAAGCCTTACCAGAGGAGAAAAAGGAGGAGGAGGAGGAAGAAGGAGGACCAGTGTGAACTGAAGAAGCGTCAATGATGTTACAAACAACACTCCCTCCAAGTTCCCCCTTCATATATTCCTAAACTGTCATGTTTTAATTGCGAGAAGTGCCCTGTTGGAAGATCAACGTCTGCGAATTCTCCATCGGGCCAAAGCACCGCTCCTGAGACTTCATCGACGCGAAATCAACGCGACTGTTGCGCCCTGACAATCCTGGATCGTGCTGAAACGCCATTCCTCGAACTCCAACACCTCGAATCAACGCGACTGGTGTGCCCTGACAACCCTTCATCATGCCAGAACACCATTCCTAGGACTTCGACAATGCAAATCCTCGAAACTGCTGCAAACTTCTAAGACGAATCTGCTACCTTACATCCATCTGTAAAACAGTTACAAGCTTTTCAAACGAATGAACACGGCGCTGAAACGAGAACCACACATGCGTGAAACTGTTGCACATTGCAAATGTTGGGGTCATACATGGCGAGAGGTCTCAGGTGAAACGCCCGGCCAGCTCTACGGACACGACCGGAGGTACGACAGGGAGGAGTGGCTTACACATAAAAAGGATTGAGGATGAGGAGGAGGAGGAGGAGGAGGAGGACAGATGAGGAGGAGGAGGAGGAGGAGGAGGAGGAGGTCGTAGAGCAGGAGGAGGAGGAGGAGGAGGAGGAGAAGGAGGAGGCACGGCTGAACCTGGATGCAGGTCAAAGGCCGACAGCTCGAGCTCGAGGAGGAGGCCCCCCACCTAAGACGAACAAAATCGTCCAATATGAATCGGAAATCGATGAGGATCGGCGGATTTGGAGCATGTATCGGGCGCCGCGGCCGTTCCAGAGCGTTCCGGAACCCTCTGAGAGCGTTCCGGAACGCTCTGGAGCAGACTTACCTCGATTCTAGGCCCGTCCGACCCCCCGACGGCGGGGGTTGAGGGGATGGTTGGGGGGGGGCTGGCATGGGCACTCCTCCTCCTCCTTCCTCCTCCTCCTCCTCCCCTCCTCCTCCTCACTCCTCCTCCTCCTCATCCTCATCCTCCCTCCTCCTCCTCCCTCCTCCCCTCCTCCTCTCCCTCCTCCCTCCTCCACTCCTCCCTCCTCCCCCTCCCTCCTCCCTCCTCCCTCCTCCCTCCTCCCTCCTCCCTCCTCCCTCCTCCCTCATCCTCCTCCCTCCTCCCTCCTCACTCCTCCCTCCTCCCTCTCCCTCCTCCTCCTCTCCTCCTCCTCCCTCCTCCCTCCTCCCTCCTCCCTCCTTCCCTCCTCCCTCCCCCTCCTCCCCTCCTCCCTCCTCCCTCCTCCCCTCCTCCCTCTCTCCCTCCTCCCTCCTCCCTCCTCCCCCTCCTCCTCACTCCGCCCTCCCCCCTCCTCCTCCTCCATCTCCCTCCTCCCTCCTCCCTCCTCCCTCCTCCCTCCGGCCATCCTCCCTACTCCCTCCTCCCTCCTCCCTCCTCCCTCCTCCTCCCTCCTCTCCTCTCCTCCCTCCGCCTCTCATCCTCTCCTCCCTCCTCCCTCCTCCCTCCTCCCCCCCCCTCCTTCCCTCCCTCATTCTACTCCCTCTGCCTCATCTCTCCTCCCTCCTCCCTCCTCCCTCCTCCTCCTCCTCTCCTTCCTGCTCCTGCTCCGCTCCTGCTCCTGCTCTGCTCCTGCTCCTGCTCCGCTGCTCCTGCTCCTGCTCCTGCTCCTGCCTCCTCCTCCTCCTTCCTCCTCCTCCTCCTCCTCCTCCTCCTCCTCATCCTCCTCCTCCTCCTCCTCCTCCTCCTCCTCCTCCTCCTCCTCCTCCTCCTCCTCCTCCTCCTCCTCCTCCTCCTCCTCCTCCCCCCTGGGCGAGGGGACTCTCTCATCCCGCCGTAGAACAGCGCCCGGAAGTGCTCCGACCGGGCCGCGAGGTGCTGCGGGCGGCCGTCCGCCGTGGCCCAGAGAGAAGCCGGGAGAGGCCGCGGGGCGGGGCAGCGAATCAGGGCGAGGAAGAGGGACCTCCTCTCCTCCTCCTCCTCTTCCTCCTCCTCCTCCTCCTCCTCCTCCTCCTCTTCCTCCCTCCTCCTCCTCCTCCTCCTCCTCCTCCTCCTCCTCCCCCCCTCCTCCCCTCCTCCTCCTCCTCCTCCTCCTCCCTCCTCCTCCTCCTCCCTCCTCCCTCCTCCTCCTCCTCCTCCCCCTCCTCCTCCTCCTCGTGCTCCTCCTCCTCCTGCTCCTCCCCCTCCCAAAAGGAAGGATAGAGCAGGGGCGATCAGGGCGAGGAACGGGGGCAGAGGGCGAGGAACCAGGGCGAGGGAAGGGGACAGAGGAAGGAGGAGCAGGGGCGAAGAGGGCGAGGAACAGGGACCGAGGGCGACGAAGGGGGCGAGAACAGGGACGGACCCTCCCTGCATCCCTCCGTGCCTCCCTCCCTCCTGCACCACTTCCGACACTCCCCCCACTTCCCTCCGACTATCCATCCTCCCCTCGCCCCCACCCACCCACAGTTTTGCCCCTCCATTCTCGGTCTCGCTCGCTCGCACGCTCTCTCTCCCTCTCTCTCTATCTCTCTTTCTCTCGGTATCTTTGTTTATATATATATATATATATGTATGAATCGGATGTGTGTATTATATAATGAGTACATGTACCGCTCTGTATGAACTGTCCCTCCATCTCTGAATCGGAGGTGAGGGGGTGAGATCGAAGTGGGACGGAGAGCCCCCCTACCGGGAAATCGATTTCGGTTTCGTGTTCGTGCGTGCCGTGCGGGCGAGGCGAAGCTGCGTGGGCGGGCGAGAGAAAGTCTCCTGTGGCTGAGGCGCGGCCGGACCAATGATTCCCTTCCGGGCGGCCGGGGCCCCGCGGTGTCCCGCCGGTGTCCCGCTGGTGTCCCGTGTGGCTGAGGCGCGGCCGGACCAAATGATTCCCTTCCGGGCGGCCGGGGCCCCGCGGTGTCCCGCCCGTGTCCCGCTGGGGCCCGCGGTGTCCCGCCGGTGTTTCGTCGGTGTCCCGTCGGTGTCCCGATGATGATGATGATGATGATGATGATGATGATGATGATGATGATGCTGCTGCTGCTGCTGCTGCTGATGATGATGATAATGATGATGATGATGATGATGATGATGATGATGATGATGATGATGATGATGATGATGATGATGATGGTGCTGATGGTGCTGATGATGATGATGGTGATGATGGTGTCCCGATTATGCTGATGATGGTGATGCTGATGATGATGATGTTGCGAATGATCATGATGATGGTGTCCCGATGATGATGATGATGATGGTGTCCCGATGATGATGGAGATGATGATGGTGAGAGGTGATGACGATGATGATCTCACTATCGATTGTGATATCGATAGTGATATCGATAGTTAGACCGATTGTGAGATCGATAATGAGATCGATAATGAGTTCGATAGTGAGATCGATAGTGAGACCGAATGTGAGATCGATTGTGAGATTGATGGTGATATAGATAGTGAGATCGATAGTGAGACCGAACGAGAGATCGATAATGACTTCGATAGTGAGTTCGATAGTGAGATCGATAGTCAGATCGATTGTGAGATCGATTGTGATATCGATAGTAAGATCGATACTGAGACCGAATGTGAGATCGATTGTGAGATCGATAGTGAGATCGATTGTGAGATCGATCGAATGTGATCGATAGTGATATCGATAGTGAGATCGATAGTGGGACCGAATGTGCGATCGATTGTGAGATCGGTTGTGATGTCGATAGTGAGATCGATAGTGAGACCGAATGTGAGATCGATAGTGAGATCGATTGTGAGATCGGTTGTGAGATTGATAGCCATATCGACTGTGAGATCGATAATGAGATCGATAATGAGATCGATAGTGAGATCGATAGTGATATCGATCGAGTGCGACGGTGGTCCCTCCCCCCCCTCACCTCCTCATCACCCGAAGGGTGGTCTATGCGGTACAAGTATACACAAATACACGAGTGTGTAGTTGTGTGTGTCCTTCTCTCTCTCTCTCTCCATCCCTCCTCATCTCTCTTGCTCTCGCTCTCTCTCTCTCTCTCTCACTCTCTCTCTCTCTCGTTCTCTCTCCACTGTGTCATTCGCATACTCCTTCACCACCCAAGCATGATCATCAACCGCACCAACGTCGTCATAACAACAATCATCAAGCTCATCAGCATCAGCATCATCATCATCGTCATCATCATCATCAGCACCACCATCATCATCACCACCATCATCACCATCGACATCACCATCGACACCACCATCGACATCACCATCGACATCACCATCACCATCACCATCACCATCACCACCTGCAGTATCCACATGTTCGTCATCAAGAGCACCATCATCAGCAGAAACATAAGCATCAACATATTCGCTGCACCATAAGCATCACCACAACCACAACCATCGTCTCATCAACATCATCGTCGTCCCAGGTATAGCCATTATAGGTTCCTTGTGGTCGTCAGCAACACCCGATTCAAAATCACAAACATCATCCACCATCATTATCATCATCGTCGTCGCCCGAATTGTACCGCCAATAGTTGCGTCGTCGTCGTCAACCTCACTCTCTTCGTCACATCATCACCACCATCACAATCCTGCTGCATCAAACGTAATGGCGGGGCGGCTGTCTGCCGCACGGGTGGCATACACCGGCTGGTTCTCGATCAAGAAGGTGACCTGACAGACCAGACAGAAGGATGCGAATGGGAGGAAAGAAGAGAGAAGAGGGGGAGGGGGACGAGGAGGCAGAGGACGGGCACAGGAACTAGGAGGAGGCGCAAGAGGCGGAGAAGACAGAGGGAAAAGAGGGACGGGGGCAAAGAGGAAGGACTTCATGGAGGGAAGAGGCACTCTTATCCAACATCAAATCAACCATCCCGACAAAAACCCAAGAGGCCCCGAGAAGCCCCTCAGAGACCCCCAAGATACCCTCAGGAAGCCCCCAGGAGCCCCCACGAGGCCTTCTACTCGTCCTCGTTCTCATCCTTCTCCTCCTCCTCCTCCTCCTCCTCCTCCTCCTCCTCCTTCGCCTCCTCTTCCTCCTTCTCCTGTCCTACTCCTCCTACGCCTCCTCATCTGTGATTCTCCTCATCCTCCTCCTCTTCCTCCTCATCTTTCTCTTCCTCCTCCTCCTCCTCCTCCTCCTCTTCCTCATGTCTTCCTCCCCCAAAGCGCTTCCCCAAAGGATTCCACAACGGCTGGGGGAACATGCGGCCAAACGTTGGTTTGGCCACATAGGCGCGCGTCCAAAGGCAGGGCGCGACGGTGGTCCGTCGCGGGCGTGTTCGATAATTCAACATGTATCGAACCTCCGAATATATAGAGAGAGAGAGAGATTCGGCCCAAGAATGCCCGCGGATGAAATAAGACGAATAGAAAAAGGCGGGGAAGGAAGCAAAGCAGCAGGTCGAGTCATCCGGGAATCATATCAGCGCGCGCGCGTTGCGGCGGCCCCAGACGTCAGAGAAGGCGGGATTGTTGATGAGCTTTCGCAAGTCGTCTACCTGCCCTCATCCATGGATAAGATGAGAACGAAAAAAGGAGGAAGGAGTAGGATGAGTGAGATGCAAAGAGAAGGACCTCCGTACGAAATCGATGACCACGCCAACATGTGCCAAGCGCTTAGCCGTGATGCAAGCAGATGCTGAACTCAGCCTCAGGGGGCATGTTCGCACGACTCGGAGCAAGCAAACTCAAGCAAACGTTATCTTCCATCCCGAGCTTGCCAGGAGGAGGACGACGAGGAATAAGAATAATGCTGATGATGCTCACAATAGTAGTAGTAGTAGTAGTAGTAGTAATAACAGAAAGAGTAATAAGAGGAAGACGATGGAGACAACGCTTGACAGGGGGATGAGGGACTGGCGGCACGTAAGATCCATGTCGGAGAAAGAAGCCGAGCAACAGGAGGTCACACGACCACCTGTCGCGATGTCGTACCGCGCGCCCCGAGCAGGCTCTGAACCATCCCCGAGACGTGGCCGGGCTTCCGGAAAGAATCAGGGGGACGTAAGACCTGGGTACAGGGGACTCGGAAATACCCGACGAGGTCGTCAATAAAAATGACGAGGCCGAGCCTGCATTTTGACGAGGCCTCCCGCTGCAGACATCCCACGAAGCTCCTCGTCAAAATCCGAGGCGCGGTCGTCAAGAAACGATGGCGAACCCGAGTCCTGGCAAACCCGGGTCTTACGCTCCCCCGAAAGAAGCCGGACGCCAGACCCCTCTCGGGAGGTTGAGTGCCGCGGCCAGCTCGCCCGGCCTGTGCGGGCCGGCCACGCGCTGAGTGCGAAGAGCCTCCGACGGCAGCGCCGACTGCATCGCACCAGCCCTCGCGCACCTAGCTCGTCGTGCGTGGTGCCACGTGCTGCTCAGGCCTGACCTGGCCTTGCCTCCTGACGGCGGCGAGCGAAGGGGGGGAATGAGAAGGCGAAGGCCTCCTCGGAGGGCGGCGGGGCCTCTCGGGAGCCCTCGCGCGCCCTCTGGGGAGCTGTCTGCGTCTTCGGGGGAGGCGCCGGGGCTTCTCGGAAGGCTCGGGAGTCCCCACCTCGCTCGCCGCCGATCCTACAGTCAAAAACCCGAATGAGGACGCGCGGTAAGGACGCAAGACCCTTGGAAGCCGAAGTTGGGACTTTTGGGGCGGCGGACGACGAAAACCTCGAGGACGCAAGAGCAAGGAAGAGCAAGGACGCAAGGGTACCCTGAGCAAAGTCGCGCGTCCTTATTGGGGTTTTTGACTGCATGAGAGCTGGAAAAATCATCCCATGGCGCATTGATTCTCAGAACAGCACGCGGCGAGCGTCTGGCCTCGCCGGGCTCGGGCGGCGACCGACACCTGGCTGCAGGGGATGCGGCCACAGCACGAGCCGCGCCCTCCCCAAATGCCCGCCAGATTGCTCGGCGGGATGGACACGGGCTCGAAACGGAACTCGTAGAAATCGTTCAATACCTGCCACCCACCCCTAATCCCAGCAACACTTGCGAACCACAACGAGCAGGGCTGGCCACTATCCTCTGACCCTGCCACTCAAACCAACACGTGCCTCGCTGAAAAGCAGATATTCCTAATGGAGCAACTGGCCCACAGATGCACGGTTTCCCCCCCGGCCGTAGGCGACCCGAGGAGGAGGAGGAGGAGGAGGAGGAGGAGGAGGAGGAGGAGGAGGAGGTGGAGGAGGGGGAGGGGGAGGAGGAGATGGAGGAGGAGGAAACGAGGAGGAGGAGGAGAGGAGGAGGAGGAGTAGGAGGAGGAGAGGAGGAGGAGGAGGAGTAGGAGTAGGAGTAGGAGTAGGAGTAGGAGTAGGAGGAGGAGGAGGAGGAGGAGGAGGAGAAGGAGGAGGAGGAGGAGGAGGACGGGCCGCCTAAGGCCCTTCGGAGAAACCCTCCGCCCACAGGCCCGGCTCGGACCCAATGCAATGCTCGGTGCTTCTGAGCGCGAGAGCTCCGCAGGCCGGCGGGTCGACGACGGCGCGGCAGTCCACGCGAGACTTCAGCCGGGCCCGTCACGGCCCGTCCTCCTCCAGGGGACTTCGGACGAGGAAGAAACCATACCCCAAAAATGCCCCCAGATGGCCAAGACATGCCCCAAATGGCTAAAGCACGCTCCAATTGTAGCCGGAGTGCAGTATCCCCAAACAGGGTTGTTAGGCCCACTGCGGCTTCCAAGGTTGATTGCGTGCCCGTCCAGTGCGGGTTGGCATGGCATGTTAAACATGCCTCCTCCTCCTCCTCCTCCTCCTCCTCCTCCTCCTCCTCCTCCTCCTCCTCCACCTCCTCTTCATCCCGAACGGCATCTCGGAGCCCAGAATTGCGAGGATGTCTCCAGCGTAACGGGCTGGACCACCTCGCGCGCGGCATCTCAGACCCCAGAGTTGCGACGATGTCTCGGGCGAAACGTGCTGCGAGGAAGTCTCAGGCGAAACGGGCCGGACCACCACGAGCGCGGCGTCTCACAGCTCCGAGTTGTGGGGGCCTCCTGGGGCCTCCTGGGACCTCCTGGTGACCTCCTGGGGCTTCCTCCTGGGCCTCCTGTGGCTTCCTGGACCCCACCTGGGGCTTCCTGAAGCCTCTTGGGGCTCCCAGGGGGGGATATCTAACATGTAGCGGGGGGGGGGCCACAAGAGGAGGAAAAATCAACGAATCGGCACTGGATGTGTATTAACTTCACACGTTCTGATCGGGGGGCCTCCTGGGGCCTCCTGGGAGCCTCCTGGGAATCTCCTGCGGACCCCTGGGGCCTGACCTGGGCGTCCTGCGGCCTCCTGAAGCTCTCTGGGGCCTCCTGGGGCTCCCAGGGTCCCAGGGGGGATATGTAACATGTGGTCTTCTGGGCCCCCAGGCTGGACCACCTCTTGCGCAGCATCTGAGAGCTCAGAGTTGCGAGAATGTCTTGTGCGAAACGGGCCGGACCACCTTGCGCACGGCATCTCAGAGCTCAGAGTTGCGAGGATGTCTCAGGCGAGATGGGCCGACCACCTCGCGCAGGGCATCTCGGAGCCCAGAGTTGCGAGGATGTCTCAGGCGTAACGGGCTGGACCACCTCGCGCGCGGCATCTCGGACCCCAGAGTTGCGACGATGTCTCGGGCGAAACGTGCTGCGAGGAAGTCTCAGGCGAAACGGGCCGGACCACCTCGAGCGCGGCGTCTCAGACCTCCGAGTTGCGGGGGCCTCCTGGGGCCTCCTGGGACCTCCTGGGGCTTCCTCCTGGGCCTCCCGTGGCCTCCTGGACCCCACCTGGGGCTTCCTGAAGCCTCTTGGGGCTCCCAGAGGGATATCTAACATGTGGCCGTCGGGGCCCCCCAAAATGGGGGGGGAGGGGGCACAAGAGCAGGAAAAATCAACGAATCGACATCGAATGTATATAAACTTCACACGTTTTGATAAGGGGGCCTCCTGGGGCCTCCTGGGAGCCTCCCGGGAATCTCCTGCTCCCCCCTGGGGCCTGTCCTGGGCGTCCTGCGGCTTCCTGAAGCTCTCTGGGGCCTCCTGGGGCTCCCAGGGTCCCAGGGGGGATATGTAACATGTGGTCTTCTGGGCCCCCAGGCTGGACCACCTCTTGCGCGGGATCTGGGAGCTCAGAGTTGTGAGAATGTCTTGCTCGAAACGGGCCGGACCAACTTGCGCACGGCATCTCAGAGCTCAGAATTGCGAGGATGTCTCAGGCGAAACGGGCCGGTGTCTCGGGCGAAACGTGCTGCGAGGAAACCTCAGGCGAAACGGGCCGGACCACCTCGAGCGCGGCGTCTCAGACCTCCGAGTTGCGGGGGCCTCCTGGGGACCTCCTGGGGCTTCCTCCTGGGCCCCTTGTGGCCTCCTGAACTCCACCTGGGGTTTCCTGAAGCCTCTTGGGGCTCCCAGGGGGGAATATCTAACCTGTGGCCGTTTGGGCTCCTCAAAATGGAGGGGAGGGGCCACAAGAGCAGGGAAAATCAACGAATCGACACTGGATGTGTAGAAACTTGACACGTTCTGATAGGGGGCCTCCTGGGGCCTCCTGGGAGCCAACTGGGAATCTCCTGCGGACCCCTGGGGCCTGTCCTGGGCGTCCTGCGGCCTCCTGGAGCTCTCTGGGGCCTTCTGGGGCTCCCAGGGTCCCAGGGAGGATATGTAACATGTGGTCTTCTGGGCCCCCAGGCTAGACCACCTCTTGCGCGCGCGTTTGGGAGCTCTGAGTTGCGAGAATGTCTTGTGCGAAACAGGCCGGACCACCTGGCGCACGGCATCTCAGAGCTCAGAGTTGCGAGGATGTCTCAGGCGAGACGGGCCGGACCACCTCGCGCAGGGCATCTCAGAGCTCAGAAGTTCGAGGATGTCTCAGGCGGGCTCCCAGGGTCCCAGGGAGGATATGTAACATGTGGTCTTCTGGGCCCCCAGGCTAGACCACCTCTTGCGCGGCATCTGGAAGCTCAGAGTTGCGAGAATGTCTTGTGCGAAACAGGCCGGACCACCTTGCGCACGGCATCTCAGAGCTCAGAGATGCGAGTATGTCTCAGGCGAGACGGGCCGGACCACCTCGCGCAGGGCATCTCAGAGCTCAGAAATTCAAGGATGTCTCAGGCGAAACGGGCCGGACCACCTCTCGCGCGGCATCTCCGAGGTCAGAGTTGCAAGGATGTCTCAGGCGAAACGGGCCGGACCACCTCGCGCAAGGCATCTCAGAGCTCAGAGTTTCGAGGATGTCTCAGGCGAAACGGGCCGGACCACCTCTCGCACGGCACCTCGGGGCTCAGAGTTTCGAGGATGTCTCAAGCGAAACGGCCCGGACCACCTCTCGCGCGGCGTCCCGGAGCGCAAATTTATCAGGATGTCTCAGGCGAAACGGCCAATCCCGGCCAACTCAGAAACGAGAGTTGTGAGGATGTCTCAAGCGAAACGGCCCGGACCATCAAATTTTTGTGAGGATGTCTCTGCTCCGACTTCCCCCGGCCAGAGTTAGCTTCTATTACGACAGCACCCCGTTCAGCAAGCTGTTTGGGGAAAAATCGTCCCCAGACTATTTTTCAACTACAGGGGACCTTGGACGAAAAAGAAACCATACCCCAAAAATGCCCCCCAATGGCTAAAGCATACTCCAAACATCGTCCCCAGACTATTTTTTGCAACTACGGGGGGCTTTGGACGAACAAAAAAAAAACATACACCAAGAATGCCCCCAAAATGGCTAAAACCTACTCCCAAGAATCGTCCCCAGACAATTTTTGGACTGTTTTCGAATATTTCTCCTGTAGGGGGACAGGCCGGATTTCATGCGAGACGTAGGGACATCTTGTCTCACGCAGTGGTCTGGAAGTTGGTGGTTGCCGCGGTCGCCTGGCTGACTATTTCGGAGCTGGTAGTGATTGCTTGGAGCAAGTGCTGAAAGCATCCTGCGACTGCCTTGCTCTTTTGCCCTGCTCACCTGCCGTCTGGTGCAAAGCACGCTCGCTCGCTCCCTTGCCACTCAATCCAGCGGGATGCACACAAGATATCTGAACAACTCGCCATGAAGGTCGCTGCAACAATCAGCCTTCACCCTGACCCCACTCACTGTCGTCCCAGTGCGAAGCAACCTCCCCCTGCAAACACTGCACTTGAACGCGACGAGCTCCTAGCATGAGATCCCCCTGCCGCCACTCCCCATGCGACATCGATCAATCTGGAAATGCTACCCCGCACAGACAAGCACTCCGACACTCTACAGCAAGGTGAGGAGGGGTGGCTCATCATGACTGCGGCTGGGCGGGGCACGATGCTCCCGTTGTAGCCGCCGAAGACATACAGCGAATTGTTGAAGACCTGCCGCGGTCGCCAGCGGACACGAGCGGAAGCAAAGTACCAGAACCTGCGCCTGCCAGACGCAGGCCGAGCCGTAGTCCGACAATCGCGCCGACGAAATGCCCGAGGAGCCCACCCCCGCATCCTCCGCCCTCTCCATCACTCCCACCTCCTCCTCCTCCTCCTCCTCCTCCTCCTCCTCCTCCTCCTCCTCCTGCTCCTCCTCCTCCTCCTCCCCTGCTGCTCCTGCTGCTCCTGCTCCTCCTCCTCCTCCTGCCTGGCACGGTCCGCAGTCCGCCCCCCCCCCATCCACACGCTCTTGCCAGGTGCTCCCCCACGCAAGGCGAGGGGCTGTTTGGCCGCCCATCCCCACGCGTGGAAGATCGCCGGCCCGATCTCGCCCGTGGGGCCGGACAAAGACGCAACAGACGCCCCCAGAATCCCACCAGCCATAAAGGGCATAGGCGGTTTCGATCGCTTCCTCTTCCGATCCGTGTATATTCTTTGTCAGAAAAAGGCTTATCACTGCTCCCTATAACTAAACACCCCCTCCCCCGCACGACCGGCAGCCAACCCGGAAACATGCGCACCCCCCTGCACCACCCCTGTCAAAAAACAATACACAACTGCCTCCAAACCTGGAACTTGGGGGGGCGCCCTGTGACCACTTTGAAAAAGGTTTTGGCAAGGACGGCGGAAGTGCCGGCATATTGCTTGATGCGCGCAGGCCAACACCCCCACACATCCGTTGCAAAAAATGATACTGGCGAAGGACCCAACCATATGCAGTTGTGGGTACCGCAATTGTGAATATCTTCTTCGGTGAAGCTCCCTATGGGGCCACGAAGCGCTGCACTGGGCGGGGGGGAACGCACGCGGGCGGTTAGAGTGGGGCCGTCGGTGGAGCTCCCTATAGGGCCACCCATAAATGCGCGCCCACCCCTGATAACACATGCCATACCTTTACCCTGTCACGCAGGCACCGCCTATACGTAGCCGCACACACACGTGAAACAAAGATGCGCACGCGCGCATCGTGTGCCATCCTTTCCTGGGCTCACCGTCGGTCTCCATCTGGTGCTCCCTGGCTGGGCACTCCCATAACGCGGGAGTTGCGCGGCAGCAGATCAACTCGATAGGCGACATGCCCATGTCCACTTCGTTCTCTGTGCTCGAACATCTGAGCGCAGGGGCCCGACACGCTTCAGTTTCTCGCGCAGCCCTCACGAAAGCGTTGCGGTCACAGCGGACTGTGTTCAGTTCCCAGGTCTGCACGGGACACGCCTGCAGGCCCGGATTATACCTGAAGCAGTTCCCGACGACCTTGAGAGGCCTCATATGTTTGCCCCAGATGACCAGGGCACTGTTTCCGGCTCGAAAGCACCGCGGATCATCGCCTCCGTGTCGATCCGCATCGGCAGCATCCACGCGAGCCTGCTCGTGCCGTAGCGCCACCGCCCCAGCTTTCGTGAGGATTCCTCGCGGTCACGCTGCCCAGGGAGCCAGAGACGGAACGGCCTGAGCGATCCGAGGCGAAGTGGCCCTGGAGTGCAGCAAGGACCTGCCGGAGAGGGGCGCGGGGGAGCCTCGGCCACCAGTGAGGACCTGCCGCTGGGAGGGTCCTCGGTGCAGAGCACGAACCTGCACCCGGCTGCACGTGCTCAACAGCACGGACAAACAAAGAGAGAGGGAGAGAGAGAGAGAGAGAGAAAGATACCTCCATATCTGTAGCATATTCATGTACTAAAGATCGCATTTCTGTATAACCACATATAAACACATACAGCGCCAAGGCAACCTGGACACATCTGGATAATGTGCGTGCACGTTTACAAGGCGTGCGCACGCACGCGCCACATCAGTCAGGGTTCCTGCATACGCTCGATCTGCTCCCTCGTGGCCCTCTGCCAAGGCCGTTGCCCCCGAACTGTGGAGATGCCCTTCCTGCAGCGTGTGCTCCTGCTCTTGTTTCAGCCTTCCCCCTGCTCACATGATCACTCCTACTCGTGACACCACTGCCGCTGCTCCAGCCACTGCTGCTCCTGAGACTCATCACTGCTGCTCCTGCTGCTGCTGCTGCAGCTGCTGCGTCTGCTGCTGCTGCTTATGATATTCTCTGCTCGTACTAAATGGTCCGCCCCCGTCCCGCGAGGCTCTGGGTGGGGCGTCACCACGCCCCCTCAAATCCTCAAGATTGGGGAAAAAAACATCAGACAGGCCCCAGGTCCCGAATTTCCAAAATTCTCTGGCACTATGGGTGCTTGGGTCGTGACATGTCCCGATGCCACGGGACCCCCAGACGGCCCAGGAGGGCCCGAGACGGCCCCAGGAGCCTTCAAAATGTACTAACGATCGTCCAAGAGGGCTCCAAGAGAGCCCCGAGAGGGCCCCAAAACAGCCCCGAGTCCAAGACGGCCCACGAGAGGCCCAAGATGACCTAGGAGGGCCCAAAGCAGCACAAGAGAGCCCCAAGACAGGAGGGCCCAGAAAGGGGAAACTCAAAGTGACAGTCGAAGCACCTCACCCTACCCCACGATGGCCCCCGAGACCGCCAGCGGGCCCTCAAGAGGCGTTCAAAGGCCCCCAGAAGCTCCCATGAAACCCACAGGAAGCCCACAAGAGTCCCAAGGGCCCCAAGAGACCCCCAAAGGGATGCCTCCAAGAGGCACTCCAAGGCACCCCGAAATGACCCCCCTAAGAGGCTCCCAATAGGCCTTCCAAAGGATCCAAAGCAGTGTCTAAGAAGCCTCCTGTCAACGATACAACCGCGGTGGCGAGATGGGCCGAAGGTCACTGTATCCGCCGCCCCCTGCTTGCAGGGGTGCACGGCGTGCTGGATGATTCAGTTTTGGTGTTGGTTCTTTTTCTAAAAGAACTCCCCAATGGGCTTCGGCCCGTCCCGCCGGCCACCCGTAAATTTCCGAAAATCCGTCTGTCAATGCCTTTGTTGCCCCAACTTGGCCCAAGATGGCCTCCAATACGGCCAAGATGGCCCAAGATGGCCTCCAAGATGCTTCCAAGACGGCCACGATGGCCTCCAAGACGGGTAAGATGGCTCCAAGATGCCTCCAAGACGGCCCAAGATGCCCTCCAAGACGGCCAAGATGGCCCCAAGATGCCTCCAAGATGGCCCACGAGGCCTCCAAGACGTTCTCCAGGAGAGCCCGAAGAGGCCAAAATCATTGGTTTTCCTTAGGTTTTTGAAGGTTTTTTGCGTTTTCATCTTTTCGGCCTTCCGACGGCCCAAGAGGCCCCCAAGATCGCCAAAGAGGCCTCCAAGAAGGCCCTATGACGGCCCAAGGGCCCCCCAAGACGGCCCCAAGAGCGCCCCAAGACGGCCCAAGAGGCCTCCAAGACGCCCAACATGGCCTCCAAGACGGCCCTGAAGCGCCCCAAGAGGGCCCCAAGACGGCCCAGAGAGGCCCCAAAGACGGCTCCAGACGGCGTCAGACGGACCAGGAACGCCCTAAGACGGCCAAAGAGACCCCCAGGAAGCCCCCAAAGGCCCCCAAGAGGCCCAAGGAGGCCCCCAAGATGCCTCCAAGAGGCCTCCAAGAGGCCCCCAAGAAGCCCCCAACAGACCCCAAGGGTGCACCAAGAGACTCCTAACAACCCTCATCCTCCTACTCTATTTCTTCCTCTTCCTCTTCCTGTTCATAATCATTCTCTCCCATGTGTTCCCCGAAAGCTTTCCAAACCGACTTGGGAACTCATGGTCCGATAGCTTGGCCAAGCTCTAGTCCAACTTTCGGCCACATCGGCGTTTCCAAAAAGGCAGGGGGCGGCGGTGATTCGCCGTAGGCGTCTTCGATCCGCCACCCCCTGTTGAGTTATCACAGGGGTGCCCGGCGTGCTAGACCCTTTCGCTTTTGGTTTTGGTGCTTTTCCAAAAGAACTCCCCCTGGGGTTTCGGCCCGTCCCGCCAGAGATGCGTAACAGGTGGTTGCAAAAGATGTTTCAGCTCCAGACGGCTCCAAGATGGCCGCCAACATGGTCAAGATGGCCCAAGATGGCCTCCAAATTCGTCCAAGATGGTCCAAGATGGCCTCGAAGACGGCCCGAGAGAGTCCAAGATGCCTCCAAGTTCGCACAAAAAACACCTAAAACGGCCCAAGACGGCGCAAGAGGCCTCCAAGAGGCCTCCAAGACAGCCCAAGAGGCCTCGAAGAGTTCCTCCAGGACGTCCCGAAGAGGTCAAGATAATTGTTAGTTTTCTTCGGTTTTTGAAGGATTCGGGCTTTTGCTCATTTTCAGCCTTCCGACAGCCCAAGACGGCCCAAGAGCTCATCAAGATTGCCCCAGGAGTGCCCGAGAGGCCTCCAAAATGGCCCCAGGACGATCCAAGAGGCCCCAAAGATGACCCAAAGAGCGCCAAAGACGGCCCAAGAGGCCTCCAAGACGCCCAAGATGGACTCCAAGACGGGAAAGATGGCCCCAATAGAGCCCAAGAAGGCCCCCCGACGGCCCAAGATGGCTCCAAAATTGCCCTAAGACTGCCCAAGAGAGCTCCAAGAGCCCTTCAAGAGCTCCACCAGGAAGACCCGAAAGGACGAAGTTCATTACTTTTCTTTGGGTTTCAAAGGATGTTGGCATTCTCGTGTGTTCAGCTCTCCGACGGCCGAAAGCGGCCCAAGAGGCCTCCAGCATCGCCCCATGAGCGCACACGAGGAGGCCTCCAAGATGGCCCCATGACAACCCAAAAGACCCCCGAGAGGGCCCCAACAAGACTCCAAGACGGCCCTAAAGGCCCCCAAGACGCCCAAAATGGCATCCAAGACTGACATAATAGCCCCCAAGATGCCTCCAAGGCGGCCCAGAAAGCATCCAAAACGGCGAAGGTGGCCCCTGATGCACCCAAGACGGCCCCGAATGATGGCATGAAGATAGCCTTAGACTGCCCAAAAGGCCCGCCAGAGGCATCCAAGACGGCCCTAGATGCCTCCAAAACGTCCTCCTCCAGTAAACCCGAAAAAAAATAATAATAAAGAAAAAAAAAATAAAAAAATAAAACAAACAAAAAAGAAAACCAAAAAAAAACAAAAAAAATATAACAAAAAAATAAAAAACAAAAAAAAAAACACAAAAAAATAAAAAAAAAGAATAAAAGCCTCGGGAAACCACCT